TTTCTTTTTCCTTTCTCCTCCCCAAAGCGCCCCAGTACATAGTTCTGTATTCTAGTTGTGAGTGCCTCTGGTTGTGCCATGTGGGACGCTGCCCCAGCATGGGCTGATGAGCCATGATGTTCTGTGTCTGCGCCCAGGATCCAAATAGTGAAACCCTGGGCCTCCAAAACGAGCACGTGAACTTAACCATTTGGCCACGGGGCCAGCCCCTACATAACTTTTGTTAGACTCTATTTTCCCCCAAATAGTAAGAAGAGTGGCATTGTTTTATATTTATTCTCTCGTGTTCTTATGTCTTTTTAAAAAAATTTGGGGGCTGGCCCTGTGGCCGAGTGGTTAAGTTTGCGCGCTCCGCTGCAGGCAGCCCAGTGTTTCGTCAGTTCGAATCCCGGGCACGGACAGGGCACTGCTCATCAAACCACGCTGAGGCAGCGTCCCACATGCCACAACTAGAAGGACCCACAACTAAGAATATACAACTACGTACTGGGGGGCTTTGGAGAGAAAAAGGAAAAAAAAAATCTTTAAAAAAAAAATTTGCTTTTTCTCCACTTCAAAATTAGCACACATGCTTATTGTTAAAAATAATTATTATATAGAGATGCACAATGAAGGAAATAGAAGCTACTAAGAATTTCTTTCATTTTCCCAGATTTGTCTGTGTTTGTTTTGTGTACACTTTTGTAAGTGGAAGAGAAAAGTGTGAAGTTATTTATGTCTTGATTGAAAAACGGTTGAGAACTGAGGTAAATCAGTGACCAGTAGAACTAGGAGGTTCCAGCTGCTGCTCAGGCTTTGGGCAGCCCTCTTAACTACCCTGGCACAGACTCCTCAGTTCTCAGGTGAAGGGACTCCACTTTTAGGCGATCTCTAAAGGCTTTGCTGGCTCCAGGTGCCAGTGCGGTGTAGGAATTAATTCATTTTCCCAGCACCAAATGGTTAAATGCTAGAGGGGGGTGGTAGAATGTTGTGACTAAAAATATTTGGTTTTGGTGAGATATAAGAAAGTTGTTTCTCTGGAAATTGAATTCTTTTAACCTGTAATTGTTGTCAGCATAGGACTCCCACTCAGATGGTTAGAATTCTGTGGGACTCAAAATAATGGATTTATTTTTATGCCTCTCTGGCACAACAGTATTGTGCATTGTGGTTATCTTGGTATTTTGTGCCTTCTAATTTTGTATAAGTGAACAGACAGTCCTAAAGAAAAAAAAGAAGATTGAGTATTTATGAAAGAGGAATTTATCAAATTCTGAAGAATCGTGTACTTATATAGCTTGACATAAGACTTGTATATATAATAAATACTTTGCTTCCGGTTAGTAGATGCTTATGAAAACAGTCATTTGTATGTTTGCTTGGCAAGGAGACAAATATGGCAAGTCCCCAAGGTACAGAAATAGCTATGTTCCAAATTTACCTTTAGCATTTGGAATACATTTTCTCATGGGTGTTGTTTATTTGTAGGTGCATACAGTCATACATTCATTAATAAGTTCAGGGTTTATGCTATGCCAGGCTCTATGCTGAGTTTCCAGACTAGTCCACAGGAAAGTTTTGAAAGTTTTACTTACAGCAGTGGTTAAGAGTGTGGACTCTGGAGCCAGGCTGCCTGTGTTCAAATACTGATCCTGCCACTTGGAAAGTGTATGATTGTAGGAAAGTTGCAAAACCTTTTAGTATTTTCTTCCTCATCTTTAAGACGGAGAGAATAATAGTACTTAACTTCATGGAGTTGTGAGAATTAAATTTTTTTTTAATTGAGATATAATTCACATAGCATAAAATTAACCATTTTAAAGTATACAATTCAGTAGTAATTAGTACATTCACAATTTTATGCAACCACTACCTCTATCTCATTCCAAAACATTTTGAATGGACAAAGTGTGGTATATACACAAATGGAATATTACTTGGCCATTAAAAGGAATGAAGAACTGATAAATGCTACAAGGTAGATAAACCTTGAAACGTTATGCTAAGTGAAAGAAGCCAGATGCAAGAGGTCATGTGTCACATGATAGTTTTTTTCTAATATTTTTATTTACTTATTTATTTATTTATTTATTTTATAGGAAGATTAGCCCTGAGCTAACATCTGCTGCCTATCCTCTTTTTGCTGAGGCAGACTGGCCCTGAGCTAACATCCATGTCCATCTTCCTCTGCTTTATATGTGGGACGCCTACCACAGCATGGCTTGCCAGGCGGTGCCATGTCTGCACCCGGGATCCAAACTGGCAAACCCCGGGTGTCCGAAGCAGACCATGCGCACTTAACCGCTGCGCCACTGGGCCAGCCCTGCATGATAGTTTTTATGGGAAATATTCAGAATAGATTCGTCCATAGAGATAGAAAGCAGGTTTGTGGTTGTCGGGACTGAGTGGAGGGGGAAATGGGGCATGCCTGCTTAATGGATACAGGGTTTTCTTTTAGGTTGATGAAAATATTTTGGAACTTCATAGATGTGGCGGTTACACAACATTGTGAATGTACTAAATGTCACTGAATGGTATACTTTAAAATGGTTAATTTTGTGTTATGGGAATTCCACTTCAGTTTAAAAATAATAAAGGCCGGTGATCACTTAGCTGGCAAAAATTCCTCAGGCAACCAGAGCTGAAAAGCCTGCTTAACCCTGTGAGTTTCTACTCTTTCTGGCCTCACTGGATTTCCTTTACTTTCCTGTGAGCTCAACTGATGTTTGTTATATTTTTTTAGTATATTTTATATTTTATTTAACAGTTCTGTAGTTTAGAAGTCTGATGCAGGTCTCACTGAGCTGAAATCACAGTGTCAGTAGGGCTCTGTTTCTTTCTGGAGGCTGTAGCGGAGAATCCATTTCCTTGCCTTTTCTGGCTTCTAGAGGCCACCCACATTCCTTAGCTAGTGGCTGCTTCGTCCATCTTAGAGCCAGCAAATGATGGGTTTAGTCCTCACTCCCACCAACTCTTTCACTTTTAAGGACCCTTGTGATTACATTGGGCCTACTCATATAATCCAGAATAATCTCCTTATTTTAAGGTCAACTGATTAGCAACCTGCCAAGTAATATAACGTGTTCACAGATACTGAGGATTAGGACCCATCTTGGAGGAGGGGGGCATTATTCTACCTACCACACGTATCTTCTGTGGATTTTGGACTGTGATTTCTTCTTTCAAAACAGCCTCACTCTGCTATCCTTTTAATTTCCGGTCCACCAATCAGACCCCTCTTTGTTTTTCTGCACAACACTTTTATGTATAAATCTTTTCTGTCACTATTAGTCATTGGAATGGGGAGCAGGCAGTGGTGGGTTTTCAGTTCACCATCCTGATCCAGTCTTTCCAGTACTAATAACTTAAAAAGTGTTACTTAGTTTTACTGATTTGAATTTTTTTTTATGTTAGTCCTTAAGGAGGTAATAGACCATTGAGCTCTTTGGCCCAACTGTTCTGTTTATCTTGGTATAAGATATACTTCACTTTAGAATTTCAAGGTAGGTAGGGGGTAGAACAGGGGCTTCTGAGTTAGGAACCTTCAGGTGTCTATTTAAAGCTGGCCGGAAAGAGGGATGGAGGTAGCCCAGTTGCTTGAAAAAGTAGTTTCCAGACAGAACTTTTCTGCCTAGAGATGCCCTGACTGCCTGGTACTCTGCATAGACAGGTAGTACCATGTAATAGGAAATAAAAAACGCAGCCTTAATAACCTTAATAAGTGTTCTCCAGCTTTACAGCCCCCATTTTTTGGGAAAATTGTGTGTAAGGCAAGCAAGGCTGTCAGAAGCATAGATTTGTAGACTATAAACCTTTTTGGGTCTGGTGTTTCTTGAGACATTAAATATTATCTTGTCCTTACTAGAAAAGAACATTTATGTTGGAGTCACCAAAAAAGCATAAATAACTGTGAAAGTAGAGTGAATTTAATAAGCATTTAATTAAGAATCCATGATATACAAAGAGATAGAATGAATATTCTTACAATCTGGTGAAAGTTCGATTTCATTGGAATATAAGTGCTGTAAGAGACATATGAACCCGTGGTGTGGGAACACAGAGGAATGAACAACCAATTGTAAAGTGATGGGTAGGAGGTGGTGACATTTAATCTGAGTTTTGAAGAATATTAATAGGACAATACAGTATTCTTTGTTGACAAACAGGCTGACCTATTTAAATGGATGAGACCTAGCAAATTTTTGTTCTTATCTATAAAGTTGACCTAGTTTCCAGCTGTTACCATGATTAGAATGTTGTATGTAACCATTATTAGATCAGTAACCTAAAACTTGATCTTGTGCCTGAGAATATACAGCAGTGGGCCTGTATCTGGGTTGAGAACGGTAAACTCACCTGGAGATTTCATCTGTATAATTTCATCCCTAACTATATTCTTGTGGTTTTTATCTGTCATAGGGTCTTGTGAATGGAAAGATTGTTGGCTTATTTTTTTTCCTCTGATAATTTTTGTCATTGTGTTACCTTGGATGAATTATTTATTGAATTTTTAGCAAGAAGATTGTCCCTGTTTTATTTAAAACAAAAGCAAACAAAACTAAAGAACAATATGATTCTTAGACCTCTTTTACTTTGTCTTGAATGTATTGATTAAGCGCAGAGAACATAAATATGTATCTATTGATTACTGGATATTTTGGTTTCTGAGGGTATCAGAGAGACAGCATAGGAGCAGCAATTGACCTGTAAAAGGTTAAAAATCCATTTACCTGCTATCTTGGACATGTGTCCTAGGTTGCAAACCCCTAAGTTTGTCGTCTTCAGGGACCCACTACATTTTCAATATCAGAGAGCTAGAAAGAGACTTCTTCTGGAAAATTAAATACTTCTGTTTAAGTACGTTAACTGTAGAAGTTTGAACAATAATAATCCCAGTAGATAAAAATATTGTGTATATTTGCTCACTGAAAATCTGATTTGACCCATTGTTAATAATGAAATTTTGTTCATTTAAAAGTTGTGGCTCATTATTTTTGTGATACTTTTTTCAAACTTTCCAGGGAAGTGTGACAGCAATGACAGTGTTTTTTCCCTTGGATACAGCTCGACTTCGACTTCAAGGTGAGTATGTTTTGTAGTGATCGTATTCCTGTTCATTTGGTGTCAGGAAGTAAACATGTTTCTCTAGTAAGTTCTAAATTAACAAAAGGATATTCTGTTTCCGTTAGAGATCAAATGTCCATTTTCACTGACTAAATCATGGTCATCATTGCTGTTTGTTAATTGACAGAGAGGTGTTCATGGATGAGTCATAGCCTCAGCCATTTTCTAGTCCATGAGAACCTGAGTGGGCTGGCATTAGTAGTTTAGAATCATTGCAATTCTTTCTAATAAACAAATGGCTTTTTTAAGATACAGTGTGAAGAGTTTTTACTAGAAGTAGATTTTCTCAAAAGAAAATAGGAAACATAGTGGAGTCAAGTACCCAGTGTCATTGTCAACCTCGGCATGTGGTCCTAGTTTGCCTCTTTCTCTTTATAGGATTGCACAGCTCTCTATAACTCCTGCTTGTTTTTTCCTCAGTATTTTTCAACTTGAAATTATAAACCTATGCCAGAAATGTGAAGAGATGAGTAAGATTAGCTTTGAATAAACTAATGCCTGTGTTAAAAGCCTTTATGACTAGTTTTAAATTAATTTTAGAGTTTTTTGGATAGGTAATAATTTCATATATAAAAAGATACACAGAACAGTGAGAAATCTCACTCTAGTTTGTCCCATTCCCCCTTTCTCTCTCCTGCAGATAGTGTCTTTATTAGTCTCTTGAATAGCCTTGAAGAGTTTCAAAAAGCATACTTTCTCTCTGTTACATACCTTGCATTTTTCACCTAGCAGCATAGTTTGGATGTTTTCCAAATCAGTGCATTGGGAGCTTCCTCATCCTTTCTTCTAACTGTAGAGTATTCCATGATATGGATACACCATAACCTGTTTACCCTTCCCTTATTGTAGATTCTTGAGTTGTTTCTTCTCTTTTGTAGAATAGACTTGTTCATATGCCACTTTGTTTCTGTAAGTTCTATGGGATAAATTCACAGACGTGGGGTTGCTGGATTAAAGGGTGAATGTATAATTTTGATAGTTATTGCCAGATTGTCCTCTATAGGAGTTTCCTAATTTGCCATCCTGTGAGTCATACAGGTACCAATTTTAATTCTTAGGGAATTGGTTTGTTTCCATGTTTTTATGTTTTCAAAATATTCTTCAAATGTGGGTAGGAAATTTGAAGTTAATTGAAGTAGGTTTTGTTTTCAGTGAAAATGCCAAGAAAAGCAGAGTTCTCATCCTTTTGAGACCTTTTATTTTTTAGATTAGGAAGGCTAAAACTTTGGAAATTCAGGTTTTAATCCTGGCTCTGCTGCTAGATGCATGTGTCCTTCACAGCTTTTGTGTCTATAGCCTCTTCTCTAAAAGGGTGATGGTAATTGATTTCAGCAATGACTTGAAACGACTTCTCATCAAAGTGAAAGAAGTGCCAAAGCAGGGCTGCATTTGAACATCAAGAAGACAAAAATCATGTCTACAGAAGAACTACACAACTTTTAACATAGATAGTGAAGACACTGATACAGTTAAAGATTTTGTTTGCCTTGGTTCCGTCATCAATTTAAATGGAGACTGCAGCCAAGAAATCAAGAGAAGACTGAGACTTAGAAAGGCAGCAATGAAAGAATTAGGAAAGATCATCAAGTGTAAGGAAGTGTCGTTAGATACTAAGGCCAAGATTATCTACACCCTTGTATTTCCAATTACAATGTACAGGTGTGAAAACTGGACAGTGAAGAAAGCTGATAGGAAAAAAATTGATTCATTTGAAATATGGTGTTGGAAGAGAGCTCCACGGCTATCCTGGACTCCCAGAAAGACAAACAAATGAGTCCTAGAACAAGTTAAGCCTGAACTGTCGCTGGAGGCAAAAATAAAACTGAGGCTGTCCTACTTTGGGCACATCTTGAGAAGGCAGGATTCTTGGGGAAGATAATAATGCTGGGGAAAGTACAACGCATCAAGAAAAGAGGAAGACCAAATATGAGATGGATTGACTCCATAAAGGAAGCCGTAGGCATAAGTCTGCAGAAGCTGAGTAGGACTGTTGAAGACAGGACGTTGTGGACATCACTCATTCAGAAGGTCTCCAGGAGTCGGAACCGACTTGACAGCATGTATCAACAATTTATTTCCTCGCTACTTTATAAGATGTTAAGATAAAAATGAGAATATGGAACTTTGAAAATAAATGAGAGCCTTATGAAATATGAGAAATAAATTTCTCCTCTCACATCTTTTCCAGTGGAAATTAGGTATTGAATTAAAATGCTTTATGGTTCGTGAATAACAGATTAAAACCAAGGAATCTACAGTTGGGAATTTAGCACATGAGAACACAGGAGGATCATTGAGTTCTGAGGCAAACTAGGGAGCTAAAAGAATAGGGTGGGAGATTGCTCAGGTAAGGTGAATGGCATTTTAGTGAAACTTGATATTGTTGAAAATAATAATTCTCAAACGATTTGGTTTAAACATATGCTTTTTTGTCTTGTAGTTGATGAGAAAAGAAAGTCCAAAACTACACACATGGTGCTTCTGGAGATAATTAAAGAAGAAGGCCTGTGAGTATGACCTTGTTCATCTTTCTTAGACAAAGCCATTCATTAGGAGATTCATGGGCTTCCAACATACCTACTCTCACTTTCTCTACATTTTCATAGCCTCATAGTTTTGTGAATTTGTAATTGCCTGACTTGTAAGTACATAGTGGTTTCATTTCCTTAAAGTTGTGTGTTTGGCCATTTTGATCCTTGATCATAGTCTTCCATGAAACCAGTATTTTTTTTTAATGTACAGTAAACTGAAGAAGGTTATAGTTGTTTATTAGCTCATTCCTATCAGATGCATTTGATCATGTACCTTTTTTTTAACTTTTCATTTGGAAATAATTTCAAATTTACAACAAGGTGCAAAACTAAAAATAGTACAGAGAATACCAGTATATGTTTTACCCAGATTCACCTATTGTTAACACTTTTTCCCATTTGTTTTACTATTTGTGCTCATTCTCTCTCCCTCCATCCCTCCCTCCCCCTTTCTCTCTACACACACCACACACAAATTTTTTCAGAATTATTTGAGAATAAGTTATCTACCATACATCAAAGCCCCTTACCCCTATAACATTGATATTTTTAAAGAATATATGCCCCCCCCTTTTTTAAATAAGATGTTTCTCATTTTAAGTTTGCCTCATGTTTCTTCATGATTAGATTGAGGCTAAGCATTCTTGGCCAGAGTAATGCATAGGTGATACTGTGTCCTTCTCAGGGTATCACCTCTGGAGTCACATATTATCTACCTGCCCTTCTTTGGTTAATTATGATTTCTTAGATTCCAGTTAGCCACTGAATAATTGTATTTTTCCTCTCTTGCAACTATGAGCAGTCTATGAGGAGATATTTTATTTAGTTTCAGTATAGACTTAGAAATTTCTGTTTTTTCAGTAGTTTACAATTGATTACTATACTTTATTATTTTGGTGCTCAAGTTGTCCCAGGTTTGGCCAACGGATACCCCTTCAGTCTGGTTCCTGTGCCCTTATAACTTTCCTGTGCCCCATCACTTTTTTTCTTTTGCGCTATTTTCTATATTTACTTCATTTTAAATATTTAAATGTTCCTGCCCTGTAATAAAATATGAATGATGCTATATTAATAGCCATGGGGGCATTGTCTCTAATTTTACATAATAATTTACTAATGGAAATCAAGGGGGAAAATCAGTAAATCAGTCATTGTATGTGTGTTGTTTCTTTGGTCTCATTAATTCTAGAAAAGATTTCTTGGTTTAGGCATCCTTCAGAATGTGAGATAAGTGTACAGTTTAGAGTACATTGTAGTGTAGGAATGAACTTTGAGAATATGTGAATGATGATCAGCCTTTCCTAGGACTTTGCCCATTTCTAGTGGCTTTTTTCCAGCATCTTTACTTTGCTTTTTGTGTTTTTCCCCTAGCCTGGCACCATATCGAGGGTGGTTTCCAGTTATCTCCAGCCTCTGCTGCTCCAATTTCGTCTATTTCTACACTTTTAATAGCCTCAAAGCAATCTGGGTCAAAGGTCAAAATTCTACTACTGGAAAAGATCTGGTAGTTGGATTTGTTGCAGGTAAGAAAGTTTTCTGAGTATAAAATCTTTTTATATTTTAATATTTATCTTGTGGTCCGTATGAAATAACCTCTAAAGTTATTTTTGCACAAAGTAGTGCTACAAAGAACATAATTAGTTTTCTGACTTGGCTGTGCGTGTGTACGTTAAAAACACATAACATGAAATTTATCATCTTAATTTTTAAGTGTACATTTTAGTAGTAAGTTTATTCACATTCTTCTGAAACTGATCTCCAGAACATTTTCATCTTACAAATGTGAAACTCTATATCCATAGAACATCTCCCCTTTCCCCACTTCCCCTAGGTCTTGGTAACCACCATTCTACTTTCTGTTTCTGTGAACTTGACTACTTTAGATGCCTCATATAAGTGGAATTTTGCAGTATTTGACTTTTTCTGACTGGCTTATTTCACTCAGCATAATGTCCTTAAGGTTCGTTCATGTTGTAGGATGTAACAGGATTCCCTTCCTTTTTAAGGCTGAATAATATTCCATTGTATGTATATACAGTATTTGTTTATGCATCATCTATTGACGGACATTTGGGTTGTTTCCACCTCTTGGCTACTATGAATAGTTGCTGCTATGAACCTGGCTGTACATCTCTTTGAGTCTCTACTTTCAATTCTTTTGGATATATAACAAGAAGTGAGATTGTTGGATCATATGGTAGTTCTTTTTGTAATTTTGTAAGGAAACTCCATACTGTTTTCCACAGCGGTTGTGCCATTTTATAATCCCACCAGCAGTGCACAGGTGTTCCACTTTCTCCACATCCTCACCAACACTTTATATTCTGGTTTTTTGATAGCCATCCTAATGAGTATGAGGTGATATTTCACTCTGGTTTTTTATTTGCATTTCTCTGATGATTAGTGTTATTGAATATCTTTTCATATACTTGTTGGCCATTTGTATATAATCTTTGGAAAAATGTCTATTCAAGTCCTTTGCCCATTTTTTTATTATTATTTTATTGAGGTCATATTGGCTTATAACATTGTGTAAATTTCAGATGTACATTATTATAATTCAGTTTCTGTATAAACTGCATTGTGTTCATCACCATCCTTGCCCATTTTTTAATCCAGTTACTTAATTTTTTGTTGTTAAGCTGTAGATATTCTTTATATATTCTGGATATTAGCTCCTTATCAGATAATATGATTTGCATATATTTTCTCCCATTCTATAGCTTGCCTTTCACTCTGTTGATTATGTCCTTTGATGCTCAAAAGTATCCACCTTTGTGGAAGATCAGTTGACTGTCTACACAAAGGTTTACTTCTGAGCTGACTTGACTTATTTTTATCTTTTTAATCCAGAGAGGAAGATCAGTTATCCCTGTTTAGCAGCCTGTACCCAGAATTTATGGAAGTTAAGGTCTCTTTTTTAAAAAATGAAGACTATAATGCCTTCCCTTCTTACTTTCCATGATTTTTTTTGACTGAGGTTCACATGAGGTGTTTAACATGAACAGGACTGGCTACATAATTTGCATAAATTCTAGTACAAAATGAAAATGCAGGACTCCTTGTTCATGATTCATTAAGCATTTCAAGATAGTTGACACCAAAGCATTAAACCAAGCACAGGACAGGTCACACACCTGTGAAGCGCACCCTGAGTATGAAAGCATTTAGTCAGAGGCGAGAAAGATGTTTTAGTGCACAGACCAGTATAGGTAGTATCACAATAGTTTTAATGCTTTAGGGTTTCATAGGAAGAAGAGAGGTCACTTTTGGCTGGGAAGTATCTGCTTATAGAAAGTGGTGGCTCTTGAACTGAGCCTTGGCAGGATTAGTAATATTTGTAGACAAGTGGTGATAGTTTCCCAGTGGAGGGAATAGCAGGGAGTTGAAAAGATGCAGGATCATGTTTAGAAGTTAGTTTAATTTACTTAGTGAGTGAAGTGACTATATAAGAACATAAGCAATAAGGTTAGAGAGGTGAGTAGGAGGCAGATTTTAGAAGGCTTTGGATCCTTGTCATCTGAGACTTAAGAAGCACTAGGGAGCCGTTAACCTGATACTGTGAATATTTAGTTTCTGTCTGTCTCTACTTAGTGAATGTAAGTTCCGTAAGAGTAGGTATCATTCATATACATATATATATATATATGTTCATATATATCATTCATATCAATATATATTGTATATAAAATCTTAAATATATTATAATTATATATAAGATATGTATACTTTATATATGGTTGTTAAGACATCTGCTCTGCATTTTCTATATCTTGAAATATTTTCCTTTTTATTGTCCAAAGCTGTTTATTTGCTGTATCTGACATCTCATTATCCACCAGGTACACACACCCCTTGTTAATCTCTCTCACTGTGCTCTCTGCTCATTTTCTTTCTAACTTACACAATTTATCATTATAGTAGATTCTCCCATACCTAACACAGCTAGACTGGTATAGTAGGCCAGTTAGTTTTAAAAAGTCAGTTGACACAGAGAATATCATAAATAGCCTACTTACCTTAAGTATTTTAACGTAAGATGTATGAATATATACTTCAACTTTTTGATGTTTGGCCAAGGCATATCGGTTTACTGATGAGGGTTTTGTGCTTTTTTTCTTGCATAACTGATACCTATAATGCTTTCCTACTGTAATTGATACAACTGAAATAAGTAGGTTTGAGAAAAGACACAATATGCTCTTGTGGGATGGAAGTAGACAAGCATGGGCATGTCGGAGAGTAGCCTGCTAGCCACAGGGTATTCAGTGTGCTGTGGGCATCTGTCAGTATGTCTTAGAAAGGGAAAGAGGAACACAGGTGTATCTAATGACCCCATTATTTGGAGATGGTTAAAAGAAATCTCACTGTAATAATATCATTCTAATTCACTTACGTTTTGAAATGTTTTCTTAAATGTGTGAGAAAGGGTGGAATTCCAGTTGACATACTGGGGGAGCAGATGGGTCTATGTCAGTTGTGAGCATCATCTGTTACATGTCTTGTCAGAGATGGTTGAGAACTGCTGTTCTGAAACCCAAATCTAATTATGTTATCCCCAGCTTCAAAACCTTCAATGGCTACCACTTCCATATAGGATAAAGTCATGGTGCCTCAGCATACAAGGCCCCCACTCCACACAGGATAAGAGCCTCACGTACAAGATCTGCCTTGATACTCCTTACCTCTCTAGCTTGATCTTTACTGTTCCCATCCTCTTATGCCAGACTGATTCCTTGAATATACCAAGCCATTTAGTAACTCCATCCCTCTACAGCTACTGTTGTCTGTCTGAAACATTCTTACTGCATATTTCATTGCCTGTCTGAAACAGTCTTACTGCTTTTTTTCATCTTATTAACTCCCGTTCGTCCTTTTGTTCTCAGTTCAAGCTACCTCCTCTTCAGGAAGCCTTCCCTGTTTCCCATACCCACCACCTCCAGGTTTCATTCTGGGTTAGGTGCCCATCCTCTGTGCTCCAACATAGTGTATACGTCTGTCTCAGTGCTTACTTTCCTCTATAGTAATAGTCTGCATATTTCTTTTTCTTCTACCGGACAGTGAATTCCTTAAAGGCAAAGATTACATTTTTGTTATCTCTGCATCCTCAGTATTTTAATACAGTGCCTGGTACATAGAAAGTGCTGATTAAATATTGAACAAATGAATTAAATTTAAAGGACTGCTCCTCCTGTAATCTCCATTTTACTAAGTGGCAGCTCTAGTCTTCTAGTTGCCCAACCAAAAATCCTGAATTAATCCTCTCTCCCTGACCGCACCTCCAATCTATGAACAAATCCTTTTGCCTCTTTCTTCATATGGTATCCAGAATTCAACCACTTGTCTCCACTACCACCCAAGTCCAAACCACCATCAAATCTTGCCTGGATTATCTTCCGAGCCTCCTAACTGATGTCCTGCTTCCTCCTTTCTCCCCTTCAATCTATATTCATGTTAAAACATAAGTGAGATCATATTATTTCTCTGTTCACAGCCTTCCAGTTGCTTCCCATCTCATTCAGAGTAAAAGCCAAAGTCCTTACCTTGTCCTACAAAGCCTTATAATGATCTGGCCCCTGTTCTTCTCTTCATTTATACCACTGCCATCACACTGGCCCCTTCTCGCTGAACACGCCCGGCGTACTTCTGCCTCAGGGCGTGTACCTGCTGTTTCCTCTGCCTGGTGACTGTGTGGTTCACTCCCTCACCTCCTTTAAGGTCTTTCCCTAAATGTCCACAATATCTGAAATAGTAGCCACTTCTACTCCCAGTACTCTGTCTTCTCTGCTTAAATTTTCTCCTTAACTCTTATTCTCTAACGTATGACATATTTTACTTTCTTGTCTTGTCTTATACCATCAGAATGTAAGCTTCATGAGGGCAGGGATTTTCATTTTTATTTATTGCTGTATCATCAGCACCTGGAACATGGCTTATCACATACCAGACACACAATATATGTTTGATGAGCAGACCATGGACAGATGACTTGTGGAGGAGGGACTGGACTTGTTCTATTTTACCTAAAGGAACTGGGCCAGGATTGCAATACATTTACTTATCCTAAAATACACACAAAGTCATTTCAGAATTGCTAATGCAGACCTCAGGTGAAAAACATCTACTAGCTAATTTCATGTATGTTTCCAATTGATTTAAGAAGGTAGATTTAATATGAGTAAAAATGAAATTTCTAACAGCTCTTGGAAAAAATAGGCCATTGGAGTGAGAGTAAATTTCTGTCTTTGAGATTTTCAAAAATAAAGTGAATAATCACTTGGTGATTGGATTAGATCAGTGGTTCTCAACTGAGGCTGATTTTGACCCACAGGGAACATATGGCAATGTCCGGAGACAGTTTTGGTTGTCACAGCTAGGAGGTGCTACTGGCATCCAGTGAGTAGAGACCAGGGATACTGCTAAACACCCTACGCAATAGCACACCCTCCCACTCCACCCTAAACAGAGTTATCCAGCCCCAAATGTCAGTAGTGTCACAGTTGAGAGACCCTTGGTCAGATGAATTTTACAGTCCTTCATAGTTCTGAGATTCTCTGATTATAGCTCCTCTCTTTTCTGAAGGTAGGGAATCCTTGGAAATTACTTTTGTGAATTTTAAACTTCTGCTCATAACGTATTTTCATATCTTAATATCTATGCATTCTTAGGATAATTAGCTTTTATAATAATTAGCTTTTTCTCTTCCTGCTGTCAGCTCTGTCATTGTATTATCTCTGTAGAAATGTTTTCTCTCCAAGGATAACTAGGAACAGTATTATTGTTACTCAAATTCTGCTTGAAACTTAGAAATTTATTATTATTTATTGTATTTTCACAGACAAAAGTGCATATAGCTTAATAACTTGTGGAAGAATTTAGAAATAGATGGCTTAAATAAAGAAGGTACTTGCTGTTTTTATGAAATTGGGATTTTTACCAGTAATTCTTTTTGAATGCCAATGGTGTTACTGTTGTGACAGTTCAAATTAATTTCCTGTCCTCGGGCCTTAAATCTGGTAAGGCAGGTTTGTTCCTGTTATGTATCAAGTTGCATTCTTTCATAGGAGCCAAATGGTTAGCTTTGTGGCCTTGATCTTCCATTTTCCTTTTTTTTTTTAATGTTCGCTTAAGCTCACTTTAATTTTGCTCAAGTAACCTATTAGACATATCTTTTTTTTTTAAAGTGTGCTTCTTGGTGAGGAAGATTGGCCCTGAGCTAACATCTGTTACCAATCTTCCTCTTTTTTTTCTTCCCCAAAGCTCCAGTACATAGTTGTATATCCTAGTTGTAAGTCCTTCTAGTTCTTCTATGTGGGACCGCTGCCACAGCATGGCTTGATGAGCGATGTGTAGGTCTGCAGCCAGGATCCATCCAGCAAACCCTGGGCCACCGAAGCAGAGTGTGCAAACTTAACTGCTGTGCCACTGGGCCAGCTCTGATCTGCCATTTTCTCGTATCAATGATCACTGCACATATTTCCTAGAAGTGCATACCCAGTTAGCATACTGCTTCTTTTTTGTGTGTGAGGAAGATTGGCCCTGAGCTAACATCTGTGCCAATCTTCCTCTATTCCATATGTGGGACACCACCACAGCATGGCTTGATGAGCAGTGTGTAGGTCCACACGTGGGATCCGAACCCACGAACCCTGGGCTGCCAAAGCCGAGTCCGCAAATTTAACCATTATACTACCAGGGATGGCACCCAACATATTACTTCATTCTTGTTGTCTCTCCTTAACAAAGGAAACTCACTACTGATTTAAAACTATTTGTTTTCCAGATTTCAAAAGTAAATAGCTATGTTCCAATTATTTCTTGTATCAGTGAATAATTTTAGTGAGTGTGTCAGTAACTGCTCTTCATCTCTTAATTTTGGTTCTGTTTCCTTGTAAGTGATTTTTCACAAAAGAAGGAAAGGGAAAGAAAAGAGATTCATTCAAATTAGAAGAAAAACAATCTCCTGTGCTTAAGTAGGTAAAGTATGAGTATTCCCATCTTAGAGCCAAAGTAACAGCCACAGCTTGGAACTGGCAGAAGAATTTTCTACACAGGGTCATAAATAAGCAGACAGCTTTCTTTGTCCTTCAGCCATATCCATCGTGCGTTAGTAAGATTCAGAAATCACTCATCGTAACCGTTTATAGCTTGTTTTTCCTCTGTGGAATGTTGTCCTTTGTTTGCTTATATAGGTTGCAAGTTTTTACTAAAGTTTTGGATCCTCAAGTATTTTGAGTATCTTTGCCCAGAAGTCATAAAATTGTAGCGGTTAAAAAATACCTCTCTATCTATTTTGGCTTAGAGGATGAACAAAGTACTTGAACTTCTCAAATAAAAAGCTTTGAAATACAAAATGTTTTTACAAGGACTTTATATTCTCTTCTTTAAATGATGTAGTACATTTTTGTACTTGAGCTTGTCCTTAGAATCCTCTCAGTCTTTCAGCTCGTGTTATTGATGGGGATTATGAAAACAGAATTTTAAATAATGGTTAAATCTTAGTCTTGGCTTCATTGCCTCTGAAGTGTCTTGTGTGTGCCTGTCTCTTAGAGCATGAAGGGAATTTTGATTTCTAAAGAATTTATTTAATGGTCAGTCTATTTCATTTGTTTAGAAAGGTATATACATGGTGCCTGTCTACAGTATCCATGGAAGCTTGTGATCTCTGGTTCTAAGCTCACTTCTCTTCCTCTTCTTCTTCTTCTTCTTCTTTTTTTTTTTTGGTGAGGAAGAGTGGCCCTGAGCTAACATCAGTTTCCAATCTTCCTCTTTTTGCTTGAGGAAGATTGTCGCTGGGCTAACATGTGTGCCAATCTTCCTCTATTTTGTATGTGGGATGCCACCATAGCATGGCTTGATGAGCATTGTGTAGGTCCACACCCAGGATCTGAACCCGCAAACCTGGGCTGCCAAAGTGGAGCACACAAACTTAACCACTACGCTGCTGGGCCAGCGCCTCTTCTTCATCTTAAAAAAAATGCAGTCGACTGCTCAGTAGCACTTTCTAGTCTGATTTTTCTGGCTATTGATTTTTCTGTTAAGTCTTGTATACCTTGCGTTAAAATGGGTATGACGTCTAGGCAAATGGGCATGTATTGATATTCTTCTGTCTTGGCCTCTTGGGCACTGGCACTTTTTAAAAATGAGACTAGCAAGAGTCTAGGTAGGACTTTTTCAGATTATGATCGATGCCTCAAGTGACATTGTATGAATATAATCAGTCATAACTAAAGATAACTCCTTGGTGTTATAACAAATACAGCTCGTAAAATTATTTGATAATGTATTTTATTTTGAGAAATGTGTTGTCATAATGTTCCTAAGAGTACATAGCAAAGTATCTTACTTTTGCAACTGTATGCAACAAATAAAGAAATAGAATTTTAATCTCTTGGCTATTTTACCACATTTATCCTTCATCATACTGTGTTTTCTGTATAGTATATTTTGAGATTCCTTAAATCAAGACTTTCTTTCTCCTATTGTGTTTAAATGACTTTTAGTAAAAGATTTCTCTTCCTTAGGATTGTGTGTCTTGGTTCTTCAGAGCATGGCTAGAGCCAGATACCTCGATGTATGGTGATTTGCTGAGTTTGTTCATTGATTCATTTGTTCAATATTTATTTAACAAATATTTATAAAGTATATACTGTGTGTCAGGCACTTTGTTACAACTCTGTCTGGTTTTCTGTTTTTTTTTTTTTAACCATTTCAGGACTGATGAGGAATATTTTAATATCTCAAGATGGTGTTAAATTGTGATCATGTGTTTTCAAAAAAGAAGCACCTGGCTTTAATTGTTCCACTCTAAGGCAACCTTGGGGGACCAAGATCCCCATCCTTAAGCTTGTAAGGATCATGATGCTTGTGAAGCTGTTTCAGGTGTTTTGTGACAGTTCGTAACTACTGCTTGCTGCCTGCCTATCCTAATTCCCTAAATGATGAGGATCTCTTCTATGAGCCTCTAGTCTCTGTTGAAGCACTTTCCAATATCACTACTTTGTCCCACCTGTCACCCGTTGTACCAGATCTATACTCACCAAAACCTTGTGAACTACTTATATGAGAGTTGTAAAATGTGTATTTTATCTGATATTGTCATGGACTTAGCATGTAATCAGTAAGCCACTTCCCCTCTCTTAAAGCTGTTATTTAAAACTATATCAAATTGCTACCTTGGATGCTGTATAAATTGACAAATAGATTGCCTCCTGTTATACAAATGAGGAAACTCATTACTCTTCTCACATGGAGAGAGACTGTGCCATCCATTTTGCTATCAGCAAGGCTTCTGAATTGCTTCTAACAGTAGTGGCTTGTGTTGTACCCTGTCACAGATAGACACTTTTCCTTAGGTCTCTAAGTAGGTCAGTGGGGAGAGGTATAAATGGAGCAGTGATGTGTAGCTTTAACAACGTAGCAAAGCTTAAAACGTTATATTTTGCTTTCCCTTTGTCTCTCACTCTTTTTTTTTTTTTTTAAAGGAGTGGTGAATGTGTTGCTAACAACTCCACTCTGGGTCGTAAACACCAGACTAAAGCTGCAAGGGGCAAAATTTAGGAATGAAGACATTGTACCAACCAACTACAAAGGTATTATTGGTAAGTGTCTCTTGGGTGAGTTCTTGTTTAAGGGTTTTCTCTTCTCTTTGTATCTGGAATTTATTGTCACAATAATGCTACATAAAAGACAACCTCATATCTCAGCATCCAACAGTAAGCATTAGTTTTGCCCATGTGTCTGTAGAATGACAGAGATTTGACTCTTCTAGGCTGACCCCAGGCTGGGAGTCTCAGCTCCACGGTCTCTCGTCCTCTTCTGGGGACCAGCCTGAGCATATTCTTCTCTTGGTGATGGCAAAAGTACAAGAGGACAGGCCCAGTCATACGAGCATATTTCAAGCCCCTGTTTGCATCTTGTCTGCCAACTTCCTCTTGGCCGAAGCACATCATGAGGCCAAGGTCAAAGACAAGGGGTAGAGAAGTAAACTGCTCCCACAGAGTATAGGTGGGAGGGGAGTGAATACACTTTTTTTTCCTAGTGTTGTCTTTGGATAAAGATACCAGATTAGGGTGTGATATCTTTGAGTTTAATAGTACCACATTGCCAGGTTCTCCTTTCCCATGTTTTCGTCTCAGGAATGAGAACATTGGTTTTCTTTTAAGTTGAATCCTATATAATGGACTCCAGGGAACTCTCTTATCTTTTGTTGTACTGTACTTTGTTATGAAATACATGTGCTATCAAGTCACAATTCTTTGTAATATAGAGTTCCCAGTGGTGGTGACAATTAGGAAAACTTGACATTCTAACCTCAGATTAGCAGGAAGAATTGCCTGTAACTGAAGTTGGTCACTCAATAACTTGATGACTGTCAGTGTCTGATGATTATCGAAAAGTGGTTACTGATGAACTTGCCCCTAAAATATCATTGCAAGAAGGAAATCTTAATAGAACCAGTATGGTTTGTGCTCCAGGTCCATTTGAACATAATTCACATTGTCTTCTTTAGTTAGGAGATTGTCATCAAAAGTCCTTGATTTCTTCTTGCTCAGATGCTTTCCACCAGATCATTCGAGATGAAGGAATCTTGGCTTTATGGAATGGCACATTTCCCTCCTTGCTGTTGGTCTTCAATCCTGCCATCCAATTCATGTTCTATGAAGGTTTAAAGCGGCAGCTTTTAAAGAAACGAATGAAGGTAATCCCTGATTTTGAAAGTAGCAAGTAATAATCTCTGACGCTTTCTTGTTGTTTGGATTGATATGGTTCATTCTTTCTTTGCTTTCCAGCTTTCTTCTGTGGATGTGTTCATCATTGGTGCAGTAGCCAAAGCGATTGCCACTACAGTCACCTATCCCATGCAGACGGTACAGTCAATTCTGAGGGTGAGTGCTGGGGTTCTTCCTGCACTTAGTCAAACAACATTCTAAAATGCATGGTTTCTCTGTTTAAGGCAAAGTTAATAAAGCAATAAAGCAGTCAGTTGGTAGGCCAGAGCATTCCTCATCCATTTTTCCATTTCTTTGATATTCTGGTGACCAAGCTGGCTCTCTGTTGGTTTCCTATTTGGTTTGGAACAAAGTTTCATTTGCAATATCTTAGGTAACACAGTATGCCAGAAAACCCAAATGTGGAGGAAGGTTCTTTAAGGAATTCAGGGAAAGTATAAGTTTACTTTCTTCTCCTTCAAGTTGATTTACTTAGATTATCCTGTACAAATCAGAGATTGATTCCTTTAGTTCATCAGGAGGAATTAATGATTTTTCTGAGCACTTTCAAATTTCTGGTTTTTCATTTATTCAGTTATTTATTCACTGAGATATTATTAAGCACCCCCTCTATGTGAGGAGCTGGGTACATGGTAAATAAAACAGTCCTAATTCCTGCCCTCATGGAAGTGACAGATGAGAGAGTGAACAGGTAAATAACCAAAATACATAGGTAATTACAAATTGAGAAACCATAAAGGAAGTGAACAACATTCCGTGATTTAGTTGAGAGGGGCATGATGGGGATCTTCTTAGACAGGATGATGAGGGATAGTCTCCTCTGAGGAGGCATATGTAAAAGCCTTAAAGGAAGTAAGGACCCAGCCATGCAAAGAGCATTCTAGCTAGAGGAAACATGATGTGCTGAGAGTTTGGCAAATCCGGGGAACAGAAAGGAGGCTGCTGCAGCTGGAGAGTGGCTCAGGATGAGATTGGAAAAGTAACAGGGAGGCTGTAAGTGAGGACTGGATTTTATTCTCACCGTAGTGGGAAGCCTTTGAAGGGCTTTAAACTAGGGAGTGATGTGATGTGATTTAAATTTCAAGAAGATTACTGGGGCTGTTGTGTGATGAATCGGTCAGTAAGCTGAGAGAAAAGGGGGGCGATCAGGTAGGCGGCCATTTCAGTAATACAAGTGAGAGGTGATGCTGGCCTAGACTTAGGTAGTAGCAGTGGAGAGGAGAGGTAAGATGTGGACAGATTCTTGATGAAAAAATTCAAAGGACTTATTGATAGATAAATGGAGGTGACAGTGAAAGGAGTATTTCAGTTCAAAAAAATTATTACCTTCTGTTAAAAGTATTTTTACCAATTTACTATTTTAAAATTGGTACATAATATAAAGGAATTCAGTAGCATCAAATAAATGTATTTTGACGCTTTTGTAATGTGAAGAGCTTAAACTGTAGTGGTTCTAATTGATTAGCGTTTGTCAGAACTTCTTAATGGACTGGAAGTTAAGCCATACCACCAATATTTAAATCTTCATCTTGGGCATGTTTTTTTTCTTTTGAGGTAGAATTTTCCCCATAATTCTCTGTGAGCTGAAAATTCTCGTGCTTGCTTCGTTGAAATTTCTTATTTTCACTTATCTCATTGAGATATTTCATTGAAAAATAGAGGATTAATGAAATCTGCATACTAATTGGATATTTTTATTACCATATGCTGTAAGATATTACTCCAACATAATTTTCTCTACAGGTAGAAATTAAGATAAAAATGCAGTATAATAAACTAATTATTTATCTTTCTTCTTCTTCCCTAGTTCGGACGTCACAGACTAAACCCAGAAAACAGAACATTGGGGAGTCTTCGTAATGTTCTCTATCTTCTTCACCAACGAGTAAGGTGAGCTTTGTAGATGCTTCACATTCTCTCCTCTCTTTCAACAGCCTTCTCTGCCAGGAAGTGGTTTGATTTGCTTATCTTGTACTACTGCCTTGGCAGTGGCCACCTAGAAACCTCTCCCTTGTGTGTCGTGCTCAGACATTTCTCATTTTAGGGGCTTAGTGCAATATGACAGCATTTGGGGAAATTATGGAAAATTCAGGTCCTTATTCTTTGTTAGTTGAATACGCAGAACTCCTTTAAAAAGGGAACCCTTATATAGTCTAATATAAAGACCATCTGCCTGAGTGGTGCTTCCATCACTGTGACCTCTTTTGTAGATAGAAATAGACACACATTACAGAGCAGTAGTTATAGAGGGAAAGGGAGCGGGGAATGGGAAGAATAATACAGTTATCACCATAATGATGACAGTGACAACAATGGTAAGAGTAGCTAACATTTTTTAATGTTTGTTTTGTGGCAGACAATGAGCTCAATGCTTTACCTGGGTAATCTCACTTAATCCTGACAGTAGCCCCATGAGGCAGGTATTATCATCATTTCCCTGGTTCGCTTAAAGAAACTGACCCTTAGGGATGTCGAGTAAGTCAGGGGCTTCCTTTGAAGCAAAAGCTGCTGTAACTTTGTTACTGTTCCTGGATGTAAGATGCTCTGGAGATAAATAAGTTCATTATAAAAATAGAATATACTTGGAATAAAAAATAAAATCAAAGATAAAAAATTGATATAAAGTAAAAAATAAATGCTCACCATACCAAGTGTTGGCAAGAATGTGGAGCAACTAGAACTTTCCTTTACTATTGATGGGAATATAGAATGGTACATCCACTTTGGAAAGCAGTTTGGCATTTTCTTAAAAAGTTATACATAATCCTACCATAGAACCCAGCCATTCCACTTCAAGGTATTTACCCGAAAGAAATGAAATACACAAAGACTTGTACACAAATGTTAATAATAGCTTTATTTGTAAGAGTCAAAAATGGGGAACAACCCAAATGTCCATCTTCTGGTGAATAGGTACACAAGTTGTGATTTCTACTCAGAAATAAAAAAGAAAGAATTATTGATACATACAGCAACTTGGATGAATCTCAAAATAATTATGCTGAGTGAAAGAAGTCAGACAAAAAAGAATTCATACTGTATGACTTCACTTGTATAAAACTTAAAAAATGCAGATAATCTGTAGTGACAGAAAGCAGATCAGTGGTTACCTGGGGCCACGGTAGGTCAAGGTAGGGAATAATTACAAAGAGACATGAGGATACTTTTGGGGGTGATGGATGTCTTCACCATCTTGAATGTGGTCTGGGGCCGGCCCCGTGGCCGAGTGGTTAAGTTCTCGTGCTCTGCTGCGGCACCCCAGGGGTTCACTGGTTCAGATCCTGGGCGTGGACATGGCATCACTCATCAGGCCACGCTGAGGCAGCGTCCCATGTGCCACGATTGGAAGGACCCACAACTAAAATATACAACTATGTACTAGGGGGATTTGGGGAGAAAAAGCAGAAAAAAAAAAAAAAAGATTGGCAACCATTGTTAGCTCAGGTGCCAATCTTTCAAAAAAAAAACAAAAGAAAAGAAATATCTGCACTGTCCAGTACAGTTGCCACTAACCAGATGTGGCTGTTAAGCACTTGAAATGTGGCCAGTGCAACTGAGAAACTGAAGTTTGTAGTTTTATTTTAATTGCTACATACATAGCTGCCATATTGGACAGTGCAGTATACCATGCCAGGCCTCTCCTAACTTCTGAACAATTAATAATCACCTAAGAGCTTCTTGAAATACAGGTTCATGCCTCCCCTCTGGAGTGGGGCCTGGTAATCTTTATTTCTAAATAGACCCTGGTGATTCTGATGTAAGTGGGTATAAAGAAAACCTACACTACTCCTATATATCTATCCTTTACTACTCACACAGAGCACTTCACTTCTGATGCTTCTCATCACCAAATATGTGGGGATTTTTCCCACACCAAGCAACTTCTGTGACACCAGCTGGGTGTCCTACAATTTAACTCAATCCTGATACATCAGGTCCCACAGGTTAAGGGCTCAGTCCCATAAGACTGACTCCCACTTCAGATGCCAATCACAAGTAGTGGGTCCCCACATTAACCACAACTTCTGTCTTACTTGGCTACAACTCAGATGTTGCCATGACCTCCTCCCCCTTGGATTCAATTGTTTGCTAGAAGAGCTCACAGAACTCAGGGAAACACTTAGGTTTACCAGTGTATTAAAGGATATGATAAAGGATACAGATGAACAACCAAATGAAGAGATACATAGGGCAAGGTCTAGGAGGGTGCTGAGCACAGGAGTTTCTGTCCCCATGGAGCCTGGGGTGTATCCACCCTCCCAAAACATAGATTTTCCAGGTTTACCAACCTGGCAGCTCTCTGAACCCCATGCTTTTGGTTTTTTAGGGTTTTTTAAAGTTAATTTTTATTGAGTTTATGATAGTTTACAATCTTGTGAAATTTCAGTTGTACATTATTGTTTGTCAGTCGTGTTTTAGGTGTACCCCTTCACCCTTTGTGCCCATCACCCACCCCCCCTTTCCCCTGGTAGCCACTAATCTGTTCTCTTTGTCTACATGTTTAAATTCCTCGTATGAGTGGAGTCATACAGAGCTTGTCATTCTCTATCTGGCTTATTTCACTTAACATAATTTCCTCAAGGTCCATCCATGTTGTTGTGAATGGGACAATTGTATTCTTTTTTTATGGCTGAGTAGTATTCCACTGTATATATATACACCACATCTTCTTTATCCACTCATCAGTTGCTGGGCACTTAGGTTGCTTCCACGTCTTGGCTATTGTAAATAATGCTGCAATGAACATAGGGGTGCATGGGACTTTTGGAATTGCTGACTTAAAGCTCTTTGGATAAATACCCAGTAGTGGGATGGCTGGGTCATATGGTATTTCTATTTTTAATTTTTTGAGGAATCTCCATACTGTTTTCCATAGTGGCTGCACCAGTTTGCATTCCCACCAGCAGTGTACGAGGGATCCTTTTTCTCCACAACCTCTCCAACATTTGTTACTTCTTGTTTTGGCATACTTTTGGGGTTTTTATGGAGACTTCATCATGTAGACATGATCTATCATTAACTCTGTTTCCAGCCCCTCTCCCATCGCTGGAGAATATGGGGTGGGGCTGAAAATTCCAACCTTATAATCATGGCTTGGTCTTTCTGGTGAGCAGCCCCATCCAGGAGCCCACTAACAGTCACCTCTTTGAACAAAAGGCACCACTATCACCCAGGAAATTCCAAGGAATTTAGGAACTCTGTGTCAGGAACCAGGGTCACAGATCAAATATTTGTATAAAAGATGCTCCTAGTACTCGTATTACTTAGGAAATTATGAAGGTTCTAGGAGCTCTGTGCCAGGAACCAGAGACAGAGACCAATATATATGTTTTCTATCTCGCAGTGGACCTCACCTTAAGAAACACTGAGGTAGACTTTCTTGGGTTTCTTGGGGGAACATAATTCATGTTAGTCAATGAACTAGAAATTCACGGGTCAAGGCTATTCATTTCTATATCACATGGTTTTCCCAAATAATAGATTTTCACGCGTAGCAAATATATAAAATGTAGAATATCTTCTGAATAGAGCACTTGGTTAGCTTTAATATCTCAGTCTGCATGATGTGTGTAGCCCTGGAGTTACTGATGAACTAGCGTGAGATTAATTCACTCTCAACAAATAATTTTGGAGAGATCATTTACTCTGGACTCCTGGTTCTAGTTAAAGCGTTCTTGTCTGTAGTTGAGCAGTGGTTCTAAAGGGCTAGTCCCCAGGCTGACATCCTCCTCCTCATCACCTGGGAGCTTGTTAGAAATGCAAATTCTTGGGTCTCATCCCAGACTTAATATGAATTGGAAACTCTGGGGTTGGGATCCAGTAATCTGTGGTTTAACAAGCCTTCGGGTATGCTTGTATGCTAAATTTGAGAAACAGTGAGTTAGAAGATCAAACATAGGGGAAGGCTGAGAATCAGGTAGCTTTTTATTTCTATCACTTTCTCTAGTTCTCTTGAGGCTAAAATGATCCAAACCAACGGGCAGCTTTCCTACCATTTAGACACTATTAAGTTGAAATAACTGAGTTGGGAGAGCATTAAAGTAAAGACCTAAAAGTTACTAGATTTCAAATTTTAGCGTTAAGATGGTTGTAGGAGATTTTAGGACCTGCCTCCTATCTGTGGGATATTGTCAGCATTCTGTTAATTAATAGTAATTATATAGAGAGAGTATTGGTGGCTCATGACTACTAAACTTTAATCAGTCCCCAGATACCTTTAAAGATAAGAAGTAATTTGACAACAGAAGTCTGTTAATAGCTAAAACTTCCATTGCTTGTTTTGATCCTAAGAATAAGCCTTTGCAAAGTAGCTATCAGCGTAGTATGTTTCTTTCCTGCAGGAGTTGACTTCTATAAAGAAAACATTTTATGTTTTTCAAACCTCTTTCCTTTCAGGCGTTTTGGAATAATAGGACTCTACAAAGGCCTTGAAGCCAAGCTGCTGCAGACAGTGCTCACTGCTGCTCTCATGTTCCTTGTTTATGAGAAACTGACGGCTGCTACCTTCACTGTGATGGGGCTGAAGCGTGCACGAAAGCACTGAGACACCTTACCCTGAAAAGTGCAGAAAGGTGCTCAACGTGGGAGGCTTCCCTCTGTGTGAAGAGACGTGGTTCTCCGTTTACTCTTGCTCCTTCCACCACGTGTTTTACCCTCCTGGGCTTGAAATGCATCTAAGGGTAAACGTGGAGTTAGCCAGCTGGACCTCTCGCCAACTTAATTTTTATGATGGTTGGTTGGATTTTGCAGGGAAGGTTGGACTAATGAGCGTACGAAAAGAAAACATTGTTGAAACCTAAAAACGAAAGTTTGTGGGGGTTCATTGGTTTTCTTAAGGGGGATGGACTAGTGCTCTCATGTGTAATCTTTTCCAGTTAATTTTTCTTAAATTTACCAGCTGTTCTCTTTCCCTGAACCCTCCCCCAGGTTCTAGGACAAATTTAATGGCATGTAATTCTCCTCATATACTTTTGTATATCTTAATCTTGGTCTGTTCCTCACTAAAAATAATATTATGACTGTGCCGTGGGCATGACTTTATTTTTGTTGGCTTTTTTACTCCTGCTTAAGGAAAGCTGTCTTCTTTAGTATATAAGCTATTTATTGTGTGGGGAAAATGAAAATTGTTAATTCCAAATGATTCTCTTATAAACTATTCATAAACATTACTTTTCATTAGTATTTGACATAATTAAAAAATATTTATTTTGAATCAACCCTTTTATTACAAAAGGCTTGAGGTTTTATGTTCATCCATTCAAGCCCCGTTCAAATCAATCCTCCAAAAAGTGTCAGCACAAAAGACATTTTTAAAAGTTGCCCTTTATTAAGGTATTACATTGGGTTTACAACGATAAAAATCACAAAAAAAGCGAGAGGAAGCAGATGCCTTTTTTAGACTCTGGAATATTATCTCCCTTTACAAACTCTTGGTGGAGACTGTATATTTTGAGAATAAACATCTGATTAAGGTTCTATTTGGAAACATTCCTTAGAGTCCTGCTACTCCAAGTGTGGTCCATCAAGCAGTAGCATTGACATCACCTGGGAGCTTGTTGGACATGCAGTCCCAGAGCTTCTGAATCATATTCTACATTTTAACGAGATTCCCAGATGATTCATGCTCACGTTAAAGTTGGAGAGACCTTAGAGCCCCTGACCCAACAGGAGATATGATTGGTTTCAATTACAATTTCAATTGTTTTAATGTATTAAAACAGTCTCTGAAAAGCCAGGAGTCTGTGTCATGTACTTGCACCTCATTGCAAATGTTAAGGTGGTAGGACTTTCATTATGTAGCTAGGAGTGAATTTAGACATCTCAAGCCACTCAAGGAGCAACTCTCTTGACATTAGCAGAACAACATTTTGGGTTCCTGTGACTGAGTTTTTTGTCCCTTTAACAAAATGACAGGTTTTTCATTTATAAGTCTAAGTCAGAGAGAGAGTAATAATGAAGTGTCTGTGGACTCTGGTATTTAGTTCAGTTTTGAGAATGGATATTTCTTTCTCTTATTTTCCCTCTGGTCCCTGTGGTAATTTCAAAATATGTGGTTATCAAGTTAGTAATAACTGAAAGATCGTGGTGGTGTTCTAGAAAACAAGAACTAGGCAGAGCTAATAATCTGGGAACTAGATTGGACACTCATCCCCTATTTAACCCAGAGAATTGGCCCCATGAGCACTTTTTATTTTACTTTAAGGTTTGCATGTTTCTGTGGTGAGGCTTTTGTGGGAAGCACAGAACTTATTTTGATTTCTGTATGGAAGAATGATCATAAAGGTGCCATGTGCACTTTTGTAATTGTTTTAATTATGCCATTTGCGTTGGAACTTGAATTTTGAGTTCAGGAAGTATTGTGGGTTGATATGTTAGAATAATTTCCAAATCAAATTATATAGTTATATTAGGTATTTATGATATGAGAATGTATTTGGTGCTCTTTTTCTGATTTTATGAGGGAACAGTTTAATATTGAGGTTTTATATTCCCTTGGAAGCTTATAGACTCACTAGGTGAAACTAGGTAATGACTCACCCAGTTTTGTAACCTTTGATTAATAATAAGTTATTTGAGAAAACTAAAGAGCTGAAGTCTATACTAAGGAAGTGGAAAAATTTTCTTTTTGATTCTTTATGCAGTTTCTCTAAAATGTAAGGATTCAGAGCCTTGGAGATTGTATCAGTATCATTGCAGTAGAAAATTTAATTTCTTTGAGTATTTAATCTGTATTTTGAAGTGGACATGAATATTTCTACCCTAGTCTATTTTATAATTAAGTTTGAAAGGCAGAAATAGGATTTACCATAATAATATAAGCAGTGGGAGTTAGATTCTTGGATTTTATTCCCAGCTCTGCCACTGGCTAGCAAATTACATCATCTCCTTGTGCTTCAGCTTTTTGATAAGTGGAGATAATAATACTACCCACTTCAGAGGATGTTTGAGAGCTAATGATGTCAGCTAAATCCCTTTATGATCGTGGGAGAGGGAAGATCTGAGTGAAACTTGTGACAGTGCCTAGATTTATATAGCAATTTCCCTTCTTAAAGCTTATACAGTTTCTCATTTTATAATCCCAGTATCTCTGTGAAGCAGGTAGGGATAAGTAACAAGATCCCCATTTAATTAACAGGGAAATGGAGACCGTACTATTAAATGGCTCACCTGGTTGGAGCCAGGACTAGAGTTGAGTTTCTTGCAGTCTAGTATAATGATTAAGAGAATGGGTTCTGGAATTAGACCTAGGTTCAACTTTGGCCCTACTCCCTACCAGCCATGGGAACAAAGTAATTACTGAACTTGTATAAAACTCCGTTTCCTCAGCTGTGACATGGAGATCTTGATAAACCTACCTTATAGGGTGATAGTGAATATTAAATGAGATCATATACATAAATTGCTTAGCACAGTGCTTGCCACATGAGAAGAACTGGATAAATGTTAGCCAAGGACTATTGTAATAATATTATTATTATTATTGATGAGGGATATGGCTGTTTGAATAGATATATCTGTGGTTCAGTGGAAAACACTAGATTCTGAGCCAGACCTGGATTCAGATTTTCATTCTATCACTAATAGCATTGTGGTCACAGACAAGTCACTTCTTCACCTTTCCGAGTCTTTATGCCCTCATCTATCCAACAGAAATGATTACCTCACAAGGTTGTTGGGGCAACGTTTTCTCTTCCTATTTGTTTTAATTGTGAACATTTCTGGGAGCCTTTCGATGTATCTCCTCAAAAGAGAAGCCAAATTCAGTAATTTTGCTTTATTCAGTACTCAAATTAAGTCCCCCGGGAAACATTTATCCCTTAATCATTAGAATAAGAACTGGTTCCATAGCAGAAAGTCACTGGCTGAGGTGGTATCTCATCTTGGCTCTCTGGAAAAGCTAAAGAATAGTGACTTCGTGGAGCCAAATGCCACACATCTAAGGAGATCCTTCCCTCTGGGCAGATGAATTACTTATTTGGTAGTGTCCAATGTCACCAGAATACCAAATATATACAAAGACTCATTTGTAGGATATCTGTGTGTGCAATAAATGTAACTGAATGTGACCTTGCAGGGTTTTTACCACCATAGAAATGAAAGGGCCTAGGATTAGTGCTATGTTTGTGGGGTGTACTGGTAGCCCCTGAAATGTATGTTCAGTGGGACATAATGGACAAGAAAAAAAGTTTTCCACGGGTAGGGTGAGAGAAGAAAATATTTAAAGACTGAGAGTGAAAAGGAAATTAGGAGATGGATATGAGGTTTGGCGGGCAGTGGGGGGACAAGGCACCAGTGCCTAGCAGAGCACTCAAAGAAGAGATGCTCAAAAAATGTGTGACAGTTACATAGACCGGGCAGTGAACTGTGGAACCTAGCCAGTGATTTAAGTCCAGTCTGTAATGATGTGAAGAGGGAAGGAAAAATTCCATTTGGAACTAATCATGAGAATGAGTAATGGAACTTCTGTGCATTGAATGCCTACTAAATGCCAGGCACGACTGGTTTGTATATATCTTGATACCCTTGTAATAACTCTCAGTATGTGAGGTTCATTCCCATTAACAGATGAGTTAGTTGAGGCTTCAAGAGTAATTTATCTATGGTCATATACCTAATAAATGGGGATCAAGATTTAAAATTTAGGCTGACTCCAGAACTTTCTACACTGCCACACTACATCCCTCAGATGTCCTTAAAAGTAAGCCTTCTAAGCCAGTTTGTGGTTCCCTTTTACAATCTGGAGGAGCATATGACTGAAGATGTGTAATTCTTTCTGTAATGAACTGTCTGTACCCCAGTGTGCTGCTACAAGGCTCAAGGGTGTCGGTGTCGCAATCCAATGTACACATCAGGATAGATGCGGAGAGGGCTGATGGCCACTCTGAGTTTATTATAACCAGCGTTTCAATATATACATAGCTTACATCTGTTAAACATACACAGGTGTTCTGGATGAAGTAATTAGCGAATGCCAAGAATTCTTAGTGATTTCTCAAGGAGCCCTCCCTTGGCCTCTGTTTTGATATTATCATGTTATTGCTGTGCTCCTATATTTTTATCTCGGAGCAGGCAAGGTCTCTTAGGCAACTGTCCCTCCTGCTCCCGATATCGATATCGTTTCTCCATCTGTGCCCCTGGCTTAGGTTGCCCCCCCAGGGGGTCTTACCTGTCATTGGCTAACCGGCCTTCTCACCTCCGGGTCACAGTTTGTTGGCAAGCTTTTTCCAGTGATTATTAACCCTTCCTGTGTCAGGGGCGGCTGCAAAGGGAAGCCTGTGGCCTCTATCCACGGATGGCTCATTGAATCCATGTTGTTTCTTGCCTCAGTCCCTTTGTTTATGCTTTCTGGTGTGTCAAGAATCTCTGCCTACTATTCCTGGTGAATTCCTGCCCAGATCAGGCATCAGCTCTTCTTGGAAGCCTTTCTGGAACTTTGCTCCCTCCTACCCACCCACCCTCAAAGACTTTTGTACTCCTGGAAGATTTTGTACTTATGTCTAATATTGCACCTACTACATTGTTGTTTTTGTTTTTGTTTTTTTTTGAGGAAGATCAGCCCTGATCTAACATCTACTGCCAGTCCTCCTCTTTTTGCTGAGGAAGACTGGCCCTGAGCTAACATCCGTGCCCATCTTCCTCTACTTATATGTGGGACGCCTACCACAGCATGGCTTGCCAAGCAGTGCCATGTCCGCACCCAGGATCCCAACCGGCGAACCCTGGGCCGCTGAAGCAGAACGTGTGCACTTAACTACTGCGCCACCGGGCGAGCCCCTACATTGTATTTTTGAATTGCAGTAGTCTATCTGTATCTCTTTCTTACCTTAGATGCTGAGTTCTTTCAGGGCAGGAAATGAGTCAAGTAGCAGAGTGTTTCTTTCACGGTAGGCACCAGGTTGTTGCATGAGTGTTTCTGGCTAAAGACAGTGCTGACCTTTCTCCAGTTAAATTGACCTGTTAATTAAGAGTTTACATGTTTTTAGAATTATTGCACTCCAGTGTTTTCTTCGTTATCAGTTTTTCAAATTTCTTTTTTTTTTTAGATTAATTAGTTCACACTTTTTTGAAGTATATTTTGCTAGTCATTTGGCTTAAAGATTCATTATTTCTTTGCTTTAATTGGAGTCACCAAAACTGTCTGCCTGGTATTGTTTATCTAATTCTTTCATGTGTACTTCACTCTTGTTTTGCTTTAGTTTCTGTAGAACCCACTGGC